CCCCCTCAAAATGTTGCCTGAGAGCATCTGCCCCCTGAAAAGTTGTAGTTGCTACCCCCCTCGCCACCAATTTGCCTTGTAAAAGTGCCCCCCTCAGCCTCCCTCCCCAGCGCCGTCTCTTCGTCACCAGGCTCCCTTCTGCACGGGGCACGATACAGGGCAATAACGGCGAACAGGAAGGCCGCTTTGGACCTGTGGGTTCAGAAAACCAAAATCGCTCCAGCCGTCTTCTGCAGGCTTCCCTCTCCGAGGCGCTGTCTGCGGGGCCGCGCCTGTACCGTGCCAGACGTTTATTCCCCTCAGTGCAAGGGGCTGTATTGCAGCACAACGGGAGCAGCTGTGCTCGCAGAAGGAACGACGGAGCGGGTTCCCCGCGCCAGCACGCGCGCTCCTTTTCCCACCGACTGGTTTATTTTCAATTCAAGTCTGTGCCTGTCTTGACGCTTTCCTTCGGTTAAAGCAGAGGGAAAGGGACTCGGGCGTACACATAGGGTAGCCACCGAGGTACCTCAGGAATAGAGGATAGTTGCATTTAGTGAGTGCAACTGTTGCCACCGCCATGAATGTCATGTGCCTCCTGAGGCTGGGGGAGCACGGTGAGCTCCCACATCGGTGGCCGTGGTGGAGGTGAGCGGGGAGCTCCCGCAGGAGGCAGCGGTGGTGTTGGCGGTGGAGGCAAGCGGGGAGCTCCTGCAGGCGGCGGCAGTGAGCAGGGAGCTCCCGCAGTTGGCGGTGGTGTTGGCAGTGGAGGCGGGGGGGGAGCTCCTGCAGGCACCAGTGGTGGGGGTGGGCCAAGCGGGGAGCTCCCACAGACAGTCACGGCAGTGTTGTCAGCAGGGGGGGTGCCGAGCAGTGAAAAACATAGGACATAAAGGCTTCCGCTTTCATATCAGTAGAAGACAGAGGACCAGAAAACCTGACTGCTCTCTATAAAACTGGATGAATGGCCACCCTATGTTGAAACCCTCCAAATCTGAAAGAATAATCATCTACAGAAGGAGTGTTCAGTTCCAAACAATAAAAAACCACCATGTTTTGATAAACCCATCCCTCAGCTTTTAAGATTTTTTTTATCCTGCACGATTTTGAAAGGAAATGCATTGTTTCACAACCCATTCCAAATCCAGTATAACAAGAGGTTCCGATTCTTATCGAGATAAGGCCTTGCACCTGTGAAATAGGATTTCAAGGTGTGCTTTTAGCTCCGGTACAACCAACCTCATACCAAAAGTGAAACATTTTAAACTGTGAAACTTACCTTTCCCTAAAGCTAAATGTTCACAGCTTTTAAGGCACCAGAGGCTGGCTTTTAGCTCTGCACTGTAGCCAGTTACCTAGTTAAATGGCCTGAGAAACAGTCCCAGTACTGAACCTTACCAAGATAGAAATTAATTGTGATCTATGTGTACCTACACTTTCTGTATGAGACAGGTGTAGGCATAGGCTACATGCTTCAATTTGAATTTCAGTTTCCTACCTGTAGAAACTGAAAGTGCCTTATTTACCACAGGGCTGAAGCCAGCAGTTATCTCCCGTTCATTCACGAGAAAAATCTTTCATTGCTGCTCTTTTAAAGCATGAACATGCCCAGTGCTTCCTCCCACCATTTTGTGCTGGCAGCTCTTGTGTTTTCATTGCAAATCTTGCCATATGTGCTGCCTTCCTTAAAACCCCGGCTCTTGGAGGCATGTGATTATGTGGAACTCAGCTTCCATTTAAAAAAACAAGCATCTGGTCTTCATGGATGCAGAGGAAACTGGGGAAAGGCATCTTCTAAGGACTGAAAACCTGTCAAATAGAGTCTAAGATTACAAATACAAAGCAATGACATCCCATATCACTGCGTGGAAGCAGGAAGGAAGGAAGGAGAGCATGGTGAAAGGGACTGCATGCAAACTTCATGGCAAAGCCTTGTCATCTAATATACCGAGATTTCAGCTTCTCACATTGACCAAAATTGTCTTGCTGTTTTCATGTGCTCCCTCATTTGCCTGTATCCTCTAATGCACTCTGACACGTTACTATTTGAGGTGAGGCGCTGTATACAGATCAATGACTCATGGACTACGAGGCCTTCTCGACAGGCAGTCAGTAGTAGGAAGCAGCATTTCACCAGTGATGGCTCCTGTTTTCATTGGTGAAAAGACTACAGTGATTTCTCCCAATGCTGCACTGATATTACGATACACACCCATGATGAATGCAGAAGGTGCATTAGAATAATAGAAAATCATAAAAAATTAGGGTTGGAAGGGACCTCAGTAGTGTGTTATTGTGGATCTTAGGAAAAGGCAGGGGGGTTCCTTGTTCTCATTAAGCCTTTATTGTAACAACTAAGCCCTGAACCCAAAATGGTCCACCAGCCATGTCCTCTGGATGACAACACTTTTGACCCTTACTACTACATCCCCCCCTATTCTCAGGGGAAAATTTGATACAGACTAGGTTACAATAGGAACCTAAGCAAAGGAAAAACATTGGTCAGTCTATTCGTTTAGACCAGACTACTTCATAGGTCTAATCTCTTCAGTGGAACCGAGGCACATCCAGACCTAGTGTGGTAAACAGGTGGAATATGACGGAAATGTTCTTGATCCCTATGGAGAAGACCACTAGGAGCACGTCTAGATGTGTATAGACGTTTGGATCCCCGGGGACAAGGAGCAGCGGTGAATCTTGTGCTGCCACTCCTCGTCCCCAGGGAATGCCTGTGCCACGCGTGCTTTGGCGCACAACAAGTTGCCCCAGGTGGGGTAGGGGAGGCTGGGGTCAGCACTGTGCTGGCCCCAACAGCCTTACCTGGGGTTCTGGGGGCTTCCTGGAGCGGCAGCCATGGCAATTCTGCCAGGTGGAGCCTGGCTGGCAGCTGCAGCATGGCTCCAAGTGTTTTTTTTTTCACTTTATTTTTGACCCCTGGATATCTGTGGGAAAAAAAATGAAGCAGCACACGCTTGGGCAGTGTGCCCTTGCAGCGCAGAGTACACCAGACTATGCAGTATGTGGCACTGCAAACGTGTTTGCAGTGCCACATACCGCATGACCGTGCTCATCTGGATGTACCCTAAGCGTCTTTTGAACGAGGGGTATCTGCCCTAGCCTGGATGGTGCCTTGAACCCTTGGATCAGGGATCCAAACTTTCTGCTGTGGGGAAAGAGCGGGTACGTGTCTTGATGCATGTCTTGTGTTATATTTCCATCTCTGACAGTCCTGCATCTGTTTGTCTTTCTCACTGAATTCCTGTGGATCGACAAGTTTTGGAACCATGTAATTTATCATACTTGGTAGGGTTGTATGGAGTCGACAACTCATAAGCAATTTAGCTGGGCTCCACCTATGCTCCAATGGTGCTGAACGGTAGATCAAGAGTGCCTTATAGAGGTCTTCATTCTTCTGGAGCAAATTCTTCACAGTCCGCACTGCATGTTCTGCTTTTCCATTACTACGGGGGAAATGTGGACTGCTGGTGACATGATGAAAGTCATACTGGGCTGCAACCTGCTTAAAGAGCTCCAGAAAACAGTGGGCCATTATCAGTTCTTAAAACTGAAGGTATGCCATGGCATGCATATATACTCTTCAATTCCATTATAACTCTCTCTGTTGTGGTGCTCTGTAATTGCATCATCTCCAAGTAACGGGAATAATAACCAATAACAACGAGGTAAACAGAACCCTTCCAGGTGAACAACTCAGCTCCCAACATCTGCCACGGATGATCTGTATATCAGTCGTAAGGCATGGCTCCACATGGACTGGTCGGTGTTGAGCATTGTAAACCTTATAACTGGCCACCCAGTTCTGTATGTCATC